GAAAGGTTTTCTTTGGTCACTATATAAGTCGTAAAACATATCTGTTAAAAGTTTAGATTGTAAAATATACATTGCCTCTGACAAGACTAACTGACATTTCTGGAGTTATGCACATATTAGTTTTTGATGCTTTTCTCTTACAATGTAAGCTTTTATACAGGAGTTAGGAAGCTTTAATAATGTTTAGTCTACATCACATGGATATGTAAGTGTCATTAGTGCTATGTTATATTACCAGTTGAATTTTAATTAATTATTACTATGCTCATAATTCATCTTTACTGTGGAATAAAAGAAATAGTGAACCCAAAGCATTTTCACTAGTTATGTGATAGATTATAGCAACATCCATTCAATTTATATGAAGTATCATAATAAAAACTATTGTGAAAAATACATCACAAAGGATTAAAGCTATGTATGAAGAAAACATTGACAAAAAATAAAATTTAATGCTCTTCACTTATAAAATTTGTTAACATTACTATGTGTTGCTTTAAATTGCATTAATGTGTAATCACTTAGTTTGGACAAGTATCATCAAACAATAGATTTTCCTCATGACCATAAGTAAACTGAAATACTTTTTCCAACTGTACAAGTATTAAATAAAAAAATTTAAATGTAAAATTATGTAGATATGGCAGTGTCCAAAATAATGCAAACAAGAAGAATATAGGGATGATACAGCTATACATAGATCATCCCTACATGACTTTCAGTATTAAAACTTAATGTTACACTGTAAAATGCATGAATACAAAATGGTTACAAGGTTGGTCAAACTGACTGACTTTGTAGCGAGAGAGTGTAATAATCAAGACATATTATGACCGATCTTGGTTTTCCTTGTATGTCTTAGGCTCTTAGTTACACTACATTGATGCCTGCCCTGACCATGATATTTTGATAAACTGCATACCAATAGTCAAGAATATATAACTTCCAACTGCAGTAATATTAAAGTCAAGTGTGCATTTTACAGTGTAAAATTAAATTTTAATATTGAAAGTCATGTAGGGATGATCTGTGTATAATTGTATCAACCCTATATTCTTGTTTGCATCTTTTTGGTACTGCCATCCCTACATCATTTTACATCTACAAAACGTTTTTTATCACTTGTTTTGTGACATTTTTTCCCCTGACTTAAAAGTTAGTGTATGCTATGAATGTGAGTAATAAAATCTAATATTATGTGTATTATTTTTTTATACCTTGACTTCATACATAATATAGGGGTTGGCTTCCCAAAGACACCGATTGTATAGTGTAGAAAGCATCGAGTATGTACATGTTACAGTCATCTAATGTCATCTATTGTTGGCTGGTAATTTCTGTTTCACCCTGTGCTTAAGGTTTTTAAAGGAACACCAGATTTCTGTAAAAAATCTAACTACAAGGGGTAATAATAACATCATATACACTAGAATTATGTTGTTGATTTTAATTATTACTAGTTATTATGACTAAGCACTGCCCAGGAACACACAAAGTTGATTTAGATTTAAACTGATGTTAGTGATAAAGTAGTTGTAGAGTTATCTCAACTGAAAAAAAAATGAACGATTTGGTGGGTTGGTCACTTTCTAGTTTGGTTTTTTTGCCTTGTTTTTGGGCTTATTTGGTATAGAAACTAATGAAAGTGAGTGGCAATTGTCTTTAAAAGTAAAAACTCTCTATCGTTGTTGATTTCTTAGTGTGCATATTTGTATTATGACTATTGAGTACCTTGGCCATTCCTATGATAAGGATTTTTCATTCATGGAAGATTTTTTTTTCTTTCCAAAATTAAGTTTCAATCCATTATTGATTCTGTAGAGGATATTCTTAATTTTGTATGGTACTTATATACTACTGAATAATGGTATTTATTTTTACCATTAAACTCTATCAAAAAAATTAGTGTGTACCACCCAAAAAACATTAATAATCAATCTAAAATTGACTTGACTCTTTCTCAATACAGTTTGAATTTGTGAAATCTGCCCACTTACTGTGCAGATGACGAACTTCATTATCTGTGATTAGCAACCCTGCCGTATAATACTGCTATCTAGAGACTAAATCTGGAAATCATAATGGTAAAAAAAAAGGTTCAAGTTAACTTTATTAAAGATTGTGTGTGTGTGTATATATGTATAGTGTGTAAAATAGAACAGAAATTTGGTGACTTTCAGTATCCTTGAACTCTTCTCCCACAGTAAATAAGTACAAAAAAAAAGGTATACAAATACATAATTTATTCTATTTATGTGATGGCTTTCTGAAGGACTTAGTTAATACAATTAATATATGATACATTTTTTTGTAGGGGGATTTCTGCCTTTATAAGCACATAAAGCTGGAAAGTCACTTGAATCTCACTTGGTAAAATCTGTGCTTAAATCCACATCTTTTAATGCTGTGTTTTGTTTTAGTTGCACCTTGTAAATATTACATAGGAAATGTCAAATTTACAAAGTTGTTTACATATGAACTTGGCTTTACAGGCTATGCAAAAAAAAAAAGCCAAACTTCTGTATTTAAGTATGGATTAATACATTGCTGATATTAGATTTAATAGGATTAACAAAAGTGTTATTTCTAAATATCAGACTAGCAAACACAGCATTCTTTATGCTACTAAATTTCTGAACAGGAAACAAAAAAAAAGGCTTTGCTTTATAACACTATCATCATAAGTCTTTGTTTATTTGTTTTGTTTTAGATCTACTTTCCACAATTAGTGTGAATCAACTTATAAGTCTACTATTAACCTGTTATTAGTATGGCTGTTTTAATTATGTCTTGATTATTAGTATTATAATTTTTTTTTTAAACAGCACTTCTGTCTACTGTTTTACATGCATTTTGTATGAGCTTCAACATTTGAAACTCTTACTGTTACGTGTTTTATATAAAACAACATAATGTAAGACACATTTGTTTTGCACATTTCACTGCTACGTGTTTTATATAAGACAGTGTAAGACATTTGTTTTACACATTACTTTGTTACGTGTTTTATATGAGATAATATAATGTAAGACACATTTGTTTTACACATTTCACTCTTACGTGTTTTATATAAGATAACGTAATGTAAGACACATTTGTTTTACACATCAGAATTAATATAGCTACAATTAAACTTTCTTTTATTGACAGTTGTAATTTTATGTAAGTCCTTAAAGAGGATAACCAGTGAAATATTGGACATTAACACTCTCTAGACAAGTCATGGGTCAAAGGCCATGTCATCGCGTTTGTTGACAAGCATTCAGAATGTTATTGAACTACCTTTTCATGAATGTATGTCAATAAGTTTGGTATCAAACTGTAGATTATAATTCAACTTTTAGTATTATACATTATTCGATATCTTAATTTCAAAGTAAATATTAAAAAAATACGGTTAAACATTGATTTTTGTGCATCACATGGTATGTTGAATGCAGCACTGGTTCAGATTAGATGTTTGTGATGTTGAAATACTAAGTCTATAGTTTCATACAAATTAGGAACTCAAATTACCGATATTAACAAGATAGAATATAAAATAAGAACCTAGTGGCTTTCTAAGCCATTTTCGGTGTGTTAGGACACCATCTTGTTCTTTCGAACCAAGATTTCAGGGAGGTAGGTTGTGTCTTTAGTCTGCTTGAAACTTCATATTTTTTTAGACCCAGATACAGCTTTGTTACTAAGCTTGATAAATTATAGTGGAACTCTATGGTATTGATATAGTAAATTATTTAGTTTCGTATTTTCCACATGCAAAATTTTAAAAGGCTTCACAACCTACGTCAAGCAGCAACTGAGTGCAAATGTCGTAACTAGAAGAGATAATTGTTTGCTTTACTTCTTTATTTACTGTTCTATGTTTAAGAAAAATAAGTGTAAGAACTTGTTTCTAAATAGCAATAATGTATAATAATTGAAGTATTTTACAAAATACTAGTCTACTAAAACACAGCCAAGACAGGTCACTTTGTAAAGGTCAGTTTTATGTTATTGGATCTGGTAACATGAGAGCACATGTGCCACATCATTGTAGCTTCTGTATTGTTGGCTAGGCATGGCTGAAAGGTCAGTATAATAAAAACAATATATATATATATATAGATAATGTTATGATTTAAGCAACTTAGTCTTAGAGAGAATTTATATTTATTTCCTAATTTTTATGGTGGTTACAAGATCGGTCAAATGTAGCACACCCATACAGACATTCGTTAATGAAAATAACAGATTAAATATATAGTTTTTCTTAAGAAACGTTTGATAACTATCTGAACATTATAAAGATTTTGTGTGTAAAATTTGAAAGTTTTCTGATGCATAAAAGTATTTTTAATCTTAAAATGAAAATTACTTTGCACGTTGAATTGGCAACATGCAAAAAGAAAAAAAAAGGCATGAGAAAAACTGTTAAACAAAGTATAAGACTTAATAGAAAAAAAATTGATATTTTGCGTATGAAAGCATTGTAATGTTTACTGATAATCTTCCAAATTTCGTTAACATGCGCTCACTAATTGAAAAGTTATAGCATGAAAACTATAACAAACACAAAATGGTTACGAGAAGGCATGAGAAAAACTGTTTAACAAAGCATAAGACTTAATAAAAAAAAAATTGATAATTTACTCATGAAAGCATTGCAATGTTTAGTGATAATCTTCCAAATTTCGTTAACATGCACTCACTAATTTAAAGTTATAGCATGAAAACTATATTATACAAAAAATGGTTATGAGTGCAGTCCCAGGAACCGAGCCTGTGCTGAAAGAGTTAATAAAATGTTTTTTTTGTGTGTTTGCCATCATTAATTGTTCTGTTTATCATAAAGATTATTTTTCACTGTGCTCTGCAAATCTTAAAATATTGTGGATTTTTTTTCCAGTAATAACATTTATAATGCATTTTATCTGTTTGTTTTAATCCAGACATTTAAAATTTTGTACTGTCTTTTAATCTTGAAAGTACTGTTTTTCTTTTATTTTCTTTTTTTTTAGAACTCTAACAAGAAGGACAAAGTATGGCAAGGTCAAGGTAAAAAAATTAAAAATTAGAAGTAGTAATTATTTCATCAATACAAAATTCTGTACAGCAAAACTGTATTCTCAAAATCAGTGGAACTTGAACTTGTAATTTAAAAATCATCTCATTCTGGTACACAAGCATTATTGTTTATGTAGAATCTTCCTAGTAGATACAATTTACCAATCCTGGAAATATACTGGCTTTTATCTTTAAAAAAAAATTAGATAAAATTACAAAAATTTATAATTACATAGCTATAGTCATATCTTTGTTTGCATTCAACTATTGTCAAATATGAAATTTTTTCTGTTTAAAGAATAAAATAATTCATTTTGGTATAGTCTTAAAACTTGATGATTTCGTGGTGTAATTTCATCTTTAATTTTAAGTGTGCCTAACTGTCTGCTCTGAGAGATCTGTCTCTGTCCTTTTGTTCCTAGTTTGTTCTATATCTGATCATTTTTTCCAAGGAATAAGAGTATTGATTACTTGTTAGACTTGTGTCTGATCATCTCTTCTAAGTTAGAACTGTGCTTGACCAACTGTATTTAATTAGAACTGTGTTTGCCACTTGTGTTTAGTTATAATGGTGTCTGTGCTAAATTAAAACCCTATCTATCATTGTTGACAAGTTTTGAGCTGTATCTAATCATCTGTGCCATGATCAGGCTGTGTGTATAATCTAATTTTGAACCATTCCTGACTGTTTGTGTTCAGTTACAAAAATAATTGTCATCTGTGTAGAATTATATCTGTTTTTAACCAACTATTGCCAAATGTTATGTCTGCCTCTTTCTTTTTTAACTTTGCACCTTGTATGACCAACTTTTTATAGTGTCTGACATCTGTGAGAACTGTATCTGGTCATCTGCTAAATTACAATTTTGTCTGATCAGCTTTTTACAAGACAGAGCAGCATCTGACTATTCGTTTGAAGTTTCTACTATTTCTTACCATACATTGTGTTCAAACTGTGCTCACTATGTGTTCTAAGATAAAAACAGTATTTGACTGACCTTGTAAATTAAATGATTGTTTTCCACTTGTTCCAAATTATAACTAACAGTTTGTGCCAAGCTAGAACAGTGTTTGAATTAGGACTGTATCTGTATCATTGGAACTATTTCTAGAATGTGAGGGAAGTTAACATTACCTGAAATTTGTGACAAGTTAAAGCAGTGTCTATGCCAAGCTAGAACTATACCTAACTGTCTGTCACAAATAAGAACAGCGTTTGCACGTCTGTGATAAGTTGTGAAATCTGTAGAAACCTATCTAACCACATGTGCAAATGAAAACTGTTTCTGACTACAGCATGCAAATTTAGAAGAGTGTCTATCATATGTCATAAGTTAAAGGATGTCTTACTCTCCATCCAAAATTAAAGAAATGTCTGACTGTCTATGCTAAGTTATAACAATTTTTAGGATCTATGCTTGGCTAGAACTGAGTGTGAGCATCTTTCAGGATAAAACCCTTTCTGACATCTAGACCAAGCTATAACCATGTCTGGCCATCTATGTGAAGTTACAACTGTATCTGACCATCTATAATAAGTTAAAAGTGTTTAATGTCTGTGTTTATTATACCTGTATTTTGACATCTGTGCCTAGTTAGAACTTTGTTTAACTTTGCCAGGTCAGAACTGTCTGATCTTCTGTTCCAAGTTTAATGGTGTCAGTCCATGTCTTTTAAATTTCAATTGTGTGACCATGTGTGATAAGTTTTGACTGTGTCTGACCATCTTTGTTAAATTAGAACAATTTTAGACATCTTTGTCAAGTTAAAAGTGTATGATCACCTGTGCCAAGTTAATACGTCTGATCATCTGCACTAAGTTAGAAGTGTGTGACAACTTCTACCAACTTTGAAATGTTATTGACCTTCTGTGTTAACCTAAAACAGGGTAGGTTGTCTTTGTTCAGTTACAACATTTCAGGGTCTGAAATGTTTGCTTAGTTAGAACTGTCTGACTATTAGATAAGTGTTTGACCACCAGTGTTAAGCTAGAACAATGGTAAACATCTGTACCAGGTTAGAGCTTTATATGACTGTTTGTGCCAATGTAGAACTGTGTCTGAACATCTTTGCAGGATTGAATCCTTTCTTATGCCAGGATAGAACTATACCTTCCCACTTGCTCCAAGTTAAAAATGTGTCCAGCAATCTATTACAAGTTTGAAATGCATCTGAACACTTGTGTTAAGCTAAAATAAATGGTAGACATCTTTGCCAAGTAATGCTAAGTTAGAATGGATGTAACACTTGTGCTAAAATAGAACTGTTCTGAAAATCCATCTCATGTTAGAATTGTCTTTAACTATGTGTTAATTTAGAATTTTTTTATCAATATTTGCAATTTATAAGTGTGGGACCATCTATTTTTAAAATGTGAACCGTTTTAGAGCTGTGTCTGATTGTCTTTACCATATGAGAAATGTTTCTGATTATACATGGCAGATTAGAATTGTGTTTGACCATTTGTGGCAAGTTAGGACTTTATCTGACCATATCTGCTAAGTAAGAATGTGTTGGAAATATTTTTTCAGATAGAACTTTTCTAACCATCTTTGTCCTAATTAAAACATTTGACCATCTGTATTAGATTAGAACTGTGTTTGACCACGTGTTCAAAGTTTCACAATCTTTGCAGAATAGAATCCTTTCTGGTGTTTGTGCTATATTCTAACCATGTGTGATCACTTGCACCAAGTTAAAGCAGTTTCAGACCTTCCATTCCTAGTACATACCATGTATGACAAACTGTTCCCAGTACGTACTGTATCTGACTAACTGCTCAGAGTATGTACTGTGTCTGACAAACCATTCCAAATAAGTACCATATTTAACAAACTGTTTCAAGTATGTACCACACTTGACAAACTGTTCCAAGTATGTACCATGTGTGACAAACCATTCCAAGTACTGTCTCACAAAATATTCCAAATACGTACCATATTTGACAAACTGTTCCACGTATGTACCATGTGGTGACATTTTCATATGTTATATGCTTACAACATGTTTTAATTGTACTAGCCATCTATTTCAAGTTAGATACTACCTGATTATCTCTTCCAAGTTATAAGCATGTTGGTCCACTTGGATTAAATCAGAACAGTGTTTGGAATCTGTATAAAGATAGAACTGTGTCTGACATCTGTGCAGAGTTATAATTGTTTCACATCTGTGTCACCTTAGAACCACATGACTGCCTATATTAAATGATAACAATGTTTGGTATCTGTAGTAACTTATAATTGTTTCACATCTATACTAGGTTATAACTATCTGACTGTCATTTCCCAGTTGTGAGTTTCAGACCATCCGTGTTAAATTGGAACAGTTTGGTATCTGTACTAAATTATAATTGTGTCTCACATCTGTGTCAAGTTATAAGTGTTAAATGAAAACAGTGTTTGCTATCTCTGCCAAGTTTATTATACATGTGTATCACACCTGTGCCAAGTTAGTACTATCTCTCACATCTGTGTCAAGTTATAAGTGTTAAATTAAAACAATGTTTGCTATCTCTGCCAAGTTTATTATACGTGTGTATCACACCTGTGCCAAGTTAGTACTATCTCTCACATCTGTGTCAAGTTATAAGTGTTAAATTAAAACAATGTTTGCTATCTCTGCCAAGTTTATTATACATGTGTATCACACCTGTGCCAAGTTAGTACTATCTCTCACATCTGTGTCAAGTTATAAGTGTTAAATTAAAACAATGTTTGCTATCTCTGCCAAGTTTATTATACGTGTGTATCACACCTGTGTCAAGTTATAAGTGTTAAATTAAAACAATGTTTGCTATCTCTGCCAAGTTTATTATACGTGTGTATCACACCTGTGCCAAGTTAGTACTATCTCTCACATCTGTGCTACTTTAGAAATGTTTGACATTTTTGATAAGTTAAAACTGTGTGTAACAACTTAAGATATATTTCTATTGTTACTTTGTTCATTTCTTTTACATATCTTTTAATTATACACTGAATGAAAACATAACTTTTTTAAAGGCTTAATTTACAGTGGTTTACACTGAAATACATTAAATTAATACATCGTGAGTGAATTTTTATGTTACGTATTTGTAATATATATAGTTTACTGAAGTCTTTTAGGAACTTCACCATCTCCCGATTTTGTTTCTACATCCTTTCTTTGTAAATCCATTCTTTTGTTCACCTTCTTTAGCATTTGGAAATGGTGACAGAAGCCCAAATATGTTGCCTTTTGCTCCAACTCCTTGCCTCAAGATCCGCAACATGTTTGATCCGGAAGTGTAAGTAGACTCATGGTGGTTTATGTCTTTGTAAAAAGAGCATATTTAGGTAATCTGTTTTAAAAGACTTACATTTTATTATAGAACTGTATTCATAAACTTGTTACTGCTTGTGATAAAATATAGTAGGAATATTGACTCTTGCTGGGAAATTTATCTATTGAAACTCGTTGAAAACTTGGATTTAATGTGTTATCACCATTTTCTAAAGTTATGTTTTTCAGTTTTAATTTTTTTGTTTTCTAACACTTTTTAATAAACACTTTTTTTTTATTATTATGTTAATTATATCAAATACTGGAATATTTTATTAAAGTTTTTTTTTATATGACAAAGTACATTTTGTCAGAAGTGGTTGTTTGTCTCTTTAAATGTTTTACTTTGAGAAGTGAACCTTTTGTGTTGGCTATGCAGAGAATATGGAGATGACTGGCATGTCCGAATACAAGATGCTATTTTGGAAAAGTGTGAAAGCAACAGTGGAATTGTACATATGTATGTTGATAAATCATCAAAAGAGGTAAGTGCATATTCTAATTGAATTTAACTTTTTTTTTTTTCTGTATGAAATGTATTCTTATTTTCACTGAATTTTATTGAAAACACCAATGCTTATATTTAATACTGTATAAAATAGATACAAATATAAACTCTATAATTAAAATAATAGTTCAAAAACTCATGAAATAGTAAAAGATACAAATGATAGTTTTACCAAGAATTTAAAAAACATGTGTCATTCTAAAAGTTGATATGTTACTTTATTGTGTATAATGGAAGAACACTCATCAATATAATTTATTATTAGACTTATGAGTATGTGTTATTTGACTAACTTTATTTTCCAGGGTTGTGTTTTTCTAAAATGTAACACTTTACAAGCAGCACGTGAAGCATACAGTTCTCTTCATGGTTGGTGGTTTGATGGTGAGTATTACAGAATTGGCAGGTAACATCTATACAGTTTTCACAGCTTTACTGAAATAGCTATTATAACTTTTTGCCTGTATAGTTCTTAATAAGGAAGAGCATTGAAAAAAAATTATTCATCAATTCATCATTGTTTATTATGCATGTGATGTTTACATGCAAATATGAGTAGAGAACAATAAAGAACACCTGAGGTTGTTAAATATTCGTATTCCAGTCACTTAGAGAGAGCTATAAAACAGTAAATATGTATATACAATGCTAATGGTGATAATGTAGTTGCTTAACCATTTAAACGCATACTTTTTTTTCAGTCATATCATGCTCAAAATCATCGTCTGGTAATTCAGGTTCAGAGCCAGAATCATCGTCAGCTTAGACAAGTTCAATTGTCTCTTCAAATGTGAAAACACTTGAGCAATTTGATGCTTAAAAACAGCTATAAGACAGTAAAAATTGATATAATTGTATATACCTTTTAAAGATTTTGTTTCTTTATCACCAGAGGTGAAATTGAAAAAAGAATCTATGACGTAGAAACCTAATGCATTCTTTGACTGGCCATATCCTCTGCTGTGGACTACAGTTTCGCCTAATCAAGGCTCATCAGCACAGCTTGGGTCAGCAAACCAAAGAAATACCATTAGGTCTCTTATAATGGTGAAGTTTATATAATATCTATGGGGTTTTGAGTCTATTTTAGTTCACCATACAGTAACCTAAATTAAATTAGGTATTTGAATAATGTTATGACATTTTGTCAAATTCATTATTCAATATTATACAGCAGACTAACTGTTTAGTGATTGTACATATGTGTTAAAGATTTCTTTTCTTTTTCACCAAAGGTGAAATTCAAAAGAGAATCTATGACATATATGTATAATGCATTATTTGATTGGCCATACATAACATTATTCACATACCTAAATTAGGTTACTATATGGTGAAGTAAAATAGACTCAAAACCCCATAGACTGACACATTTTTACTGGATGATAGTATAGTTACTTAAAGAAAGCTAAGAGACAGTAAAGATTCTTGGTTAATAGAGCTGGGTAATTAGTGGAATTTGGCAGTTGAGTATTCACTGGGTTCATTAATCTATTACTTTCAACTGGTCAATTATTCTCAAAATGAGATGGCTAAAAAGAACTTTAAAAATCTGGTTGTGATACCCATGGTGGGCAGAGCACAGATAGCCTATTGTGTAGTTTTGTGCTTTGCAACACACAATTAAATAGCAATATTTCAGTTAGTAAATTATTTTCATGAGTCACATCACTAATCGATCAAGCTGGACAAATTTCAATTTAATCAAAAATCATAAAGACAATATTTCAATCACAGGATTGTTAGAATAATAGGAAACACTAATTTCAATTGTGATTATTTTTGTTACATTAATTGATTTAATCATAATTTAGATTAATCAATTATGTTGAGTTAATCACCCAGCTCTATAAATGAATGGTGGTGTAGTTACTTAAAAACAGCTCTAAAAATTAAATTGTAAAGGTTACATATTAAATGTTAGTGAAATATGATATATCCAACAGGCTAATTAATAATGACCTAAACTCACTATGAAGATTAATTTCAAATCATCCAAGAACAACCTTGGTAAAGGTGTTTGGTTTTTATTTTTCATTACAAAGTTATACAGAGAAAGTAAATTCTCACACTTTCAAAAAATATAGTTTTCAAAATTTTCTAATATCTTTCATACATCATGACAGTACAGCTCATTTTGTTGTCTTCTTAAAAGTAACTTTTTAAAATCAATTGTGAACTTCTCTTCTAGGTAAATTGGTAACGGTTAAGTACTTGAGACTTGAGCGTTACCACGAAAGATTTCCTGCATCTCGTTACAGTACAATGCCTCTGAAACCTTCAAACAACATGCGGCTATCATTGTCAGTGCCATTCCAAAACTCCGTGCTTGAAAGAACCTGAACTGAACAACTTTAGGGTTGGTACTCACCCAAGTTGGGAGTGCAATGTCTTTTGATGAAGAAAGAAACATTTCTAATAAAAAATTTTAAAAAGTTACCACTACAATGCTGGTGTTTGCCACACCAACAAACTGTAATATTGTTTAACTGCTGGGTTTACTTAAAAACAGTTTTCTTTTTCTTTTTTTTTAATAAGATACCTGTGTATACATAAGCTCCTTTGTGAAAATCACAAATATTGTGTGTGAAACGTTATGGAGAATAGAATTAATGTGGAATAATTCACTATCTCCATGTTCTCATTTACATATTTTGAAGGGTTTTCAGGGATGATACTTTTTTTTTTTTTGCTGCATTTAACCAGAGTAAAGAACAGTGTTTTTAAAATGCAATATGATTTTGAAGCTTAACTTCATGGCTCTGGTAGAGAAAGTGTATTAATTCCATTTGTTTGCTGATATGTTTTAAAAGCTTTCTAAGTAAAATTGAGACTATAACTCAAAATCAAATCTTTGTTACAGAAATTCTATATTAAACACAGAGTGACAGTTATTCAAGTCATCCATATATAAAGACAGGTACATTGACCTATATTAATATGAAATAGTACCAGTTTTATTGTTTCTGGCAATGTGATATGTGTACATTTTCATTTCTGTCCATTCCTTTTTTTGTAAAAAGTAAAACTTAAACACTAAGCATTTTATTAATAAAATATATTTTATCTAAGCTTCAAGGAAACTTTTCACATACCATCTTAGTACCATAGTAGAAATTTTTGGTTTGTTCCCTATTTCTTTTCAAGAATATCTTTAAACACATTATTTTAGAATACTCATGAAATTGTTAGGCTATTTCAAGGAATGATGTAAACAAACATTGATAATAATTATGTCTAATAAGTTTGTGTTAGTACCATCATTATTTCAGGATGTTCTGTAGAGTTCAAAAAGGAAAAACAAGTTCCCAGACTGAGAAGAGGAGGGTACACCAAACTGAAGATTTAATGGTGGTTTCATGTGTAGAACACAAGACCCATGAACTGTCAATTGCAGTGTTACTTTCTGTATGCATATGGTGAGCTACAGAACGTGTGTTTGTTTATTCTTGTCCAATTGTGAGCTTGCTTCTTGATTTTAAAATTTTCAATTTGGCTTATTTTTGGTCATGTTCTATAGTGGTTTGTAGTTCTTTGTTTTATCATTTGCTCACGGTATTCTTTAGTGATTACTGATTTTGTAGTCTCACCATTTTCTCGTATTGTTTAGCAATAGTTATTGCTTAATAGTCTCATCATTCAGTCATGTTCTGTAATGATTACTGCTCAGTAGCTAATCATTCTCATGTTGATAGTGATTACTGTCTAATAGTCTCACCATTCACTCGTGTTCTATGTTGGTTAGTGGTCTCATCTCTAATCTTGATCTGTAATAGGTACTTATTAGTTGTCTCATCATTTTTCATGGTGTTCTGTAGTGGTTACTGCTTTGTAGTTTCATCATTCTCTTGTTCTGTAGTGGTTACTGTTTGTCTCATCATTCACTCGTGTTCTATGTTGGTTAGTGGTCTCATCTCTAATTTTGATCTGTAATAGGTACTTATTAGTTGTCTCATCATTTCATGGTGTGTTCTGTAGTGGTTACTGTTTGTCTCATCATTCACTCGTGTTCTATGTTGGTTAGTAGTCTCATCTCTAATTTTGTTCTGTAATAGGTACTTATTAGTTGTCTCATCATTTTTCATGGTGTTCTGTAGTGGTTACTATTTGTCTCATCATTCACTCGTGTTCTATGTTGGTTAGTAGTCTCATCTCTAATTTTGTTCTGTAATATCTGCTATTTAGTAGTCTCATCATTCTTTCATGGTGTTCTGTAGTGGTTACTGATTAGTTGTCTCATTGTTCACTTTTGTTCTGTGTTAGTAGTATCATCAATCTCTCATGGTGTTTTGTAATGGTTGCTGCTTAGTAGTTTCATTGTTCACTTTTGCTCTGTGTTTGTTATTAGTCTCATTCTCTTGTGGTGTTCTGTCGTGGTTACTGCTTAGTAATCTTATCATTCACTTTTGTTCTCTGGTGGTTAGTAGTCTTATCATACTCTTGTGGTAGAGTAGTTACTGCTTAGTAGTTTCATTGTTCATTTTCGTTCTGTGTTGTCTCATCATTTTCTTGTGCTGTTCAGCAGTAATTACTGCTTAGTAGTCTCATCGTTCACTTATGGTGTCCTGCAGCAGTTAGTGATTACTATTATTTCACTCAGCTTATTTTACATTCCCTTGATTTGTTTTGTAGTTTAAGATGTTTTTATTCAGCTGTATATTTCCAGCGAAGGAAGAAAATTTTTCACTAACCTTTCTTATCTTGAAATTGTTAATATTTAAAATGTGTAGATATAAGGACAACTGAAAGAATGTACAAGATGGGTTAATACAGAACTTAATATGTGAAATTAGTTTTTTTTAAACTTGGCTTTTGCTTCATCGTGTCAAAAATAAAGTAATGTAACTATCAAGCAATTACTTTTGAAATGAAAGGCAAATGAATTACTGTTCTAGCAAGATATTAGTTGTCTTTATCACACAAAAATTGCTGTATTTCATAATTTGAATCGTACAACTGTTTCACAAGTGAGGTCAGTCACTTGAGCTTATTAATATAAAACTGAAGTCTTTGTTGTCCTACTGTTGTTTTCTTTTTAACCACAACTCATTTTTAGTAACTTGAAACTTGTATCAACAAACAATATTCTTGAAGAAACAGAATGCATTTTTTAGAGTAAAGATCTAATAAATTAGTACATAAGAAACTATCTTAACTGGCATGGATTGAGAAAACATGTTTTTACAGAACATTCTAAAACACTGCTGTTGTTTCTTTGAAATTAAGTAACTTAAAACAAGTGTCCAAGCAAGAAATCACTTCCCTACCATGAGTAAAGAAAGTCATAAAAGAAATAAATCAATTGATACTAGGTTTTTAAGTATTACTTATTGTTAGTACTGATATTGTGCTTTAGCTTGTTTGTTCAGAAAATTTAACTAAATTGTGACTGCATTTTGTGTCATTTCATTGTGTTACTTGGTTTTGGAAGTATTGTCTTCTGTATTGTGAAATAAATTGTTATGTAACAGTCTGCTTGAGCATTTAATCTAGAAAACAAACCCTATACTTTGGGTGTTTAAGAATTAAAATATCAGCTATATTAAGAATGAATCCTTTCCTATTAATTTATTCAGACTAGGATTGAGCAAAACAATGAATTATAGTTTGTTTTTTTTTAGACAATGTAAGTGTGATAAATCAATAGCTTATTGCAAACTTTGGGCTTGTTCAAAGTTACAACACTGGCTTTTCTTAAAATGGTAAATAACTTATCTGTTCCAAAAGTAAAGGTTATTTTAAAGTTGCAAACACACAAAGTATCAATGCTGCAGCTTTGCAAGTCTCTAACCACCTGGAGGTTGATTCAATAAATCTTGAAATAGCACATTTAAATTCATGTATAGTGTTTTAAAATGTAATATTTCTTTCTTTAAACTAGAAAAACATAATCTACTTTTAGGTTTAAAGTCAACACTTAAATCAATATTTGTATAAGTGGTATGAAAAAGATTACATAATTTTTCAAAAAACAAAAATTGTTTAATTTTACCTAAATAATTGTGAATGATGTCATCAATCATGTTATTTGGAAAGTAATTTCTACTAACAAATATTTTAATGTTTTCCAACTCTGTAAAAGTATTTATATTTATTAATAATTTTATAAGCACAACAAATTAATCAGATTATTAATTATCACCACAAAGACAGTTTTACTCAGGACCTCCCTGAGGATGGCAGCAGTTTAATAGCAAAAATGTAGATCATAAACTAGTCTGTAGTTAGTACCCAGCAATTATAAGAATAAAAAAAGTTATTGGGTGATCATTAGGTTACTGACATTGAAAGCACACAATATCTTAATCAAATAGTTTAAAACAATTCTGTTATTAAGCTTTCAAAATGAAAATACAAACCAATAAATATTTTTCTATGGTACACTTTACATTCAAAGTATCTACAAGACATTTTCACCAGTCTAAACAATAACGGTGAACTAAAAATCTACCGAATCATGAAATCAAACAAAGGTGCAAATTATGTAAGACAAAAACAGGCCTCTTCATACCTAAAAAAAATACATTAGTCATTTCGGTATACACATTTATCAACATACAAAATATTCAAAACACTTGAACAGACTTAATCAACTGGAAAGATAACTATTTTTATTAATCACCCTAGTAATTTGATATTCAACTTTTCTGATGTTTTAATAACTTAATAGGAAATCGCAGTAATTTGAAGTTCCTAAACACAATATGGTCTAGTAGCTAGGAATAATTTAATGGTATTAGAATGTCAATTAGAAAGATAACTATTTATTAATTATATTTTTGAATACAACCCTGCTAACCTAAGTAAAGAACATTTAATAGCTATGAAAAACCTCAGTAAATGTGAAATTAGTTATACAGTATTTAAACCTGATAAAAATGTTTGTAATTTTGAATAATGCAAATTATGATTCTAAAAATTAAAATTTCTGAATGAGACAAAATTTGTTAAGTTGAAAACACTTTAATATGCAGATACATCATATTTTCTACCTGCATTTAGTTACATAGGAATTTTTAAACAAATCCAGAAAATCACTGAAGTTACCTTGTTCTATCAAGTAAATATCTATTCTGCTTAAAGGAATAATGCAGTAACATAGCACATCTATGTAGAATGGATCACCAACTTTAATATCTTTTAATGGCTGAATGATGCATGTAAATGATACAAGAGAGCTTGAGTCACAAGGTGTCAGTCATCATTTGTTGGCTGAATGATGCACGTAAATGACACAAGAGAGCTTAAGTCACAAGGCGACACCATTGGCTGAACAAAGAAACTGAGGTTACCTATTAGTTTGAATCTTCACTTCTTAGTTTCTTTTGGAATTTGTGTGTTTTGTCCTAAAGCAATCTATTTTGAGAGAGAGAAAGTTGCAGACTTAATCATGACCTGATGGAAATGGCAGACGATATGTCTTATTGTCTGTATAAGTAAGCATGCATTTTTGGGGTGTTTTTTTTTTCTGTGTGTATGTGTGTAGTGATAATAAAGATTGTTTTTGTCTTCAAAACTTGCCAACTCTTATTACTTCACATATTTTCAAATAAGGACTACTTCCCAAATTTCCTTGTTAGTAGCAGATCTACTTGTGCAAAAATAAATTTCTTCTGAAAATACCATAACAATACAAAAACTAGAGAAACTGAATTACAGAATTATTTATTAAAACTTAATACAGAATATTTTAGTATAAGGTGGTCAGACAAGTAATAGTATTTTGTTTTACCCACCATCATGCTCCAAGTTGAACAAAAACTGCAACCTGGCTAAGTAATGACTGAATATTTGCAGTAAAATTCTTATCAATGCTATAAGTGTGGCTGCCAGTTTTGATTTGATTTCTTTAAGTCTCACGCTCAATCCTTTTTTGGCTGCATCTTTTTTTCACATCTAAAATGTTTTTGATTAGACTGTCTTTTAATATGAAATAACTTTTACTATCATTCAGAAAAATTGGCCCTCCATCAGCTTCAAGCTCTTGTTTATTAGCTCATTAACAGTATCAATGAGCTTCATCAAAATGGCTTTTTAAATGTGTGATTACTCTTTCAAAACCAGTCTTTAACTTATTAATAAAAGTGTTACTTTGGAATAGTTTAGGGTGCAGTTTCTGAGCCAGTGTACTAATCAAAATGCTGTGCAAGTAACAAGCTATAAAATAACATGGTGATGTAAACCTCAAATCTTATTTACAGTAGTATACTGTACCATTTGTCAGATATGAAGCTTTTAAAGTAACAAGCTACAAAACCAGATGAGGCTTACAGAAGTATACTGTATCATATGTGAAACACAGTTTTTCAAATAACAAGCTATAAAACATTATGGAGATAGAGGGCTCAATGAGAATTACATTGTTGCTTCACAATAAAGTTATATTTCTTACATGACAACACACTTGTACAATTTAGCTGACATATCAGGAAATACCTATAAGTGGTGTCCATTGTAAATTGGGGTGTGTGTCTATATATATATCATTAAACTTAAATTATATTCATAACAAGTCTTAGTAAGGAAGAAGATAAGTGAGCACAATACGTCACACTTGTAGATATACTGTGGATATTCCTATTGCTAAATTAACTTGAAATGTCAAAGATACAGCAGAGTAGCATGATGGAAAACAGGAACACATGTATATTTACACACATGGTGATGTCAAACATTGAAGGCTGTCGATGATAGTGATATGTGCAGAGTACAGTATGGCTGTTTATGATATTTAAACTGATTTAATGTTTTTTAAAAACACTACATTCAGTAGACTTCAGATTTAATTTTAAACACAAATGAAATAAAGAAATAATTCCTATCTAGCCCTTCACAAAGAAATTTATTTTATACAAAGCATTTTCTTTTGAAATGGCTACATAAAGCATTTCTTGGAGAAAATAACTTGCTCATTCTTAACAGATGTGTTTGCTATGCCACCTAAAATACCTATTCTACCCAAATTATCTTTATACACCAACTTACCATATCTTGGAAGACACAGCTCACTTATCATGAAGCAGCTGAAAAAAATTACTTAACTGTTACTATCCTCAAGTTGATCTGAAAGCTATTTTAAACCCAATCTCAAACTTAAAAATTTTCAGTTACAAAGATTGTGTACTGATTGCCATTGTTTGCATCTCATCTGTTTATACAGGTGCAGACACTGTAAAGCTTCTTATATTGGTGAAACTAAATGTCACTTTAAATTATTCTATAATATGTTTTCTCTCCATTTAACATTTTACTGAATATCCAAGTAAATTAGTGATTAATGATACTGTAGCATTAGTTAATAAATATCTTTGTAACACTATTTTTAGATTTCACTGAAAATGGAATAAGTGTACTCCGAAATATTAGAACATTCTTAATACATTTTTTTTTCCAATAACACCGAACGTCAGAAAATGAATACTCTTATTGAACGTTTGTATGATGTTAACACAAATAAGGTAGAATTCAATCTTTTGGACATGTTCACCACAACAGGGATAGGAGGGGCAACTGCTGCAACAATTTTTTTATAAGATTGATGATAACCTTCCATTGCATGAGATAACTGCATGTCATTTGGTGTGGATAACACCAGTATCAATCTTTGTGAAAGGAACTCAATTAAATTAAGAGTGATGAAGCAGGCCCAATCATGTTACTTTGTTGGTTGTCCATGTCATCTCTTACACAACATAGCCTATAAAGCATCAGATACCTTTTAATCAGTGGTAAAGCTTGGTGTGAAAAACTTGTGCATAGACCTGTTATGTTGGTTTGACAAGTCTACAGAGAGAAAATCAACATGATTTAATTTTTGTGATGTTGAGTATAGGGATGTTGTAAATCATGTCAACACAAGACAGCAGCCACCATGAATATTGATCTCTTTGAAGGAAATAAGACCTATTTCAAGTCATGCCAGGAAAGAAAGTCAAGATTCAAAAAGACTGAGGACCCATTTTGAAAATCCTAAGACAGATATTTATTTGCTGTTATACAGTTCAGTCCTGCCAGTATTCACCTGCTTTAATCAATTTCTTCAAAGAGAAGATCCATATATTTATGCCATTTATCCAGATTCATTCATAAGAAAGCTGTGCGGTAAATTTGTTACAACAGAGATAATACAAAGTGCCTGTTGTAACAGATGTTGACTTTTAAGTGGACCCAAACCAACTGCCAGATGAACCACTCGAGTAAAAATGTCAAAACATAGGGAAGAGGGCAAACATCTCACCAGAGCAGAGGAAAATCTATTTTAAAGGTGTCAGGAATTTTTAAACAACTGTAGCCTCAGAAGCCATCAAGAAACCCCCTTGGGTAGATGACCATGACATACTCAAACATGTCAGGTTTGTAAGTTTTGTTGAAAGGAGTTTCTCAACATTCTAGAACGTGCTGTTCTATGTGAAAAGATATTCTCATCTCCTGCCCTTCCAATACAGACATCAAGTAAATCAATTACAAGAACAGTTCACAGAATATCAACTATTAGATGAGAAAGGTATTCCTATTCCAAAGGATATGTGGAATGATGCTGCAATAAAGCGTGAAGATGGAAATGTATCATATAGAATGGACAGAATTTGGGATCATCTAGCAACTTGCAAGCTTGCAGGTATCAAAGCTAGATTTGCAGAACTTGCTCAGGTTGCACAACTGGAGCTTGTAATTCCCCAATCCAATGCTGGAGGAGAAAGAGTCTTCAGCAATGACAAGAAAGAAAGAAACTGATTTTTGGAATAGCATGCCATTGAATGTTACATTGTCTTCCCTCTTAAAAAGACCATTAATAAGTGGGAACCCACTAAAGGTGCAACAAAAGACTATAATAGCTTCACAAGAAGGAATGGCTATTATTATGAGGATATATTGTTGTCTTTTTGAGCCACTCTGACATACATTTAATGGTGTTACTTTCTTGATCAGTTAGGTAAAGTACAGTAGTTGTGTAGCTTTTTAGCAGGGATTAGTATGTGGAATTTAAATAGTTATTACTTAATTTAGTTTAAATAGTAGCTATGTGTTCTATACATAGGGTTTTTTACTATTTTCCTGGCCACAACAAACAGCATTGCTGTGTTGTACAAGAAGTTGTGGAACCACCCTACAACAGAATATACAGTTTTTAAAAACTAAATGAATTTGCTAAAAAATACCAACCTACCTACTACTGTAAGAAATGTATTACTCTAGTGACTATTTCAACATACTACATATATGCAAATCCCTGAAGATCTATTAAGCTTATAATCATGTACACTATCTCTGCTAACTATTCTGCCAGCAACTGAATCCATCCATCTGTTTTCAAACAGTAATTCAGTAGAAGGAGCCCATGAAAGTTATGCTCAGGTCATCAGTCAGTCGTGCTGGTAACGATCTTGGCCTCCACACCTGCCAGTTGTAATACACTATAAACAAAATATTAACTTCTAATTAATTACTTTTAATCATAATGTATAGCAAAGAAATTATTTAATCTCAGAATATTAATATTTAAAATATATTTTTCTCTCTTCCTCTGTGTGTGTCTTTTTTTTTATAAGCAGACAAGTAGGGTTAATTCCAATAAAATTAATATTTCAATTAGTGCTGCAGCTTCTGCTCCTACAAGGACACATTTAACTATTCCAACTCAGTCGTTAACCCTTTCGTGACAGGCTCATTATAATATACACAAGTTAAGTATTTATACTATATCTTTTAATGCAGTAAGTGTATCTTCACAAAATTTGGTAGACTTTTAGTAAAAATTACAAGTCTTTTGTACACAAAAAATCAGATTTTTAATGAAGTATTTTTATTATAGATTTGTCTGTGAAAATATTGAATCTGTTTTGTTACCAGTCCAAGTGCGAAGTGATTTTTCATGTTACAATTAAAAAACTATTGTTCGTCACAAAAATCTCAAATATTTGTGTAATCTCTAAAACCTCCTAAATACATTTCAAACATTTGTTTTCAGTAAAACTATATATTTTTTCTGTTATTTTCTCTACCTTAACTCTATGGGGTATGTCAATTTGACTGGCCTCATAACCATCATAAAAAATTAGAAAATAAATTTAAGTTATGCTTTTTTGTTCTAGAATGACTACAGATTATAAAACATATGTTTAGTCTAAATAGCTTAAACCTCATAATATTATACATTTATATATATTTATTATATTTACCTTTCAGACATGTCTGGCTAACAATAGAGAAGTTAAAATGACACGACGCACGTGCACTCGTGATACCGTATCCAATAATATAAAACTGACCTTTAGTCTTTACAAAGTAACTTGTCTTGGCTGTATTTTTGCAGACTAGTATCTTGTAAAATACAGTCACATTTCAATTATTATACATTATATATGTATATACATTAATACTATTTACAAATAAGTTTTTAAACTTATTTTTCTTAAAACAGAATATATACATCAATACTATTTACAAATAAGTTCTTAAACTTATTTTTCTTAAAACATAGAACAGTAAATAAAGAAGCAAAGCAAACAATTATTTCTTCTACTTACAACCACTGTACTCAGTTGCTCTTGACGTACGTTGCTAAGCCTTTAAAAATTAATACATTAACACATCAAAATAGCTGAGAAAACCACTAGGGGCACATTCTGAGCTTTTTATTGTTTATTCATGTCATATATAGAAATAAGTGTATATAAGAGAGCATTTCCAAAAATTAAATAAGGTGGAGGCACTGTATTTGATTCAGTACACGAGTGGTATCTTAGCAAATATAAGAGTTTCTTATTTTATATTCTAGCTTGTCAATATTGGTAGTTTGAGTTCCTAATTCATACAAAACTATAGACTTTGTATTTTAACATCACAAACATCTAATTTGAACCAGTTCTGCATCCAACATACCACATGACACACAAAAATCTATTTTTAGCTGTATTTTTTTAATATTTATTTTTAAATTAAGAAATTAACTAATGTATAATACTAAAATTTGAGTAATAATCTACAATTTCATACCAAACTTATTGACACAAATTCATAAAATAGTAGTTCAATAAAATTTTGAATGCAAGTCAACAAACGCGATGACATGGCCTTTGACACATGACCCGTCGCGATAGGGTTAATGCCCTAGCTTTATTTGTGTGTCCTGTAAATGTAATGCAATATCCTTTAGGACTAATTATTTGAAATAAAAAATCTTCAAAGGCATTATTACTCACTTTCTAATATTACTGATACTTTCCTTGAAAAAAAAATATTTTAGTAATGGAGTTTTTTTTACCAAATCATAGTTTGAAGGATTGTAACAATAACATGTAATATTTAATCAAATGAAAAACAAACACTCAGAAATAATAGTATGTCTCTAATTTTAAAAATACAAAACACTTCTAAATCTATAATGTAAATTAAAGATGTTCTGAAAATTCTATAATAGTTCATTACTCATTCTTTTATAAATCCAAGAATTTCAAAACATTTTAAAAGTATTCCTGAATCGAGATCCTTTTTAATATATGCAGTTGGATAAATTATAAAGATCTTTTATATATATAGACACACACACACACACACACACAGTTTCACTAGCTATTTAAATGTTGTAAGTACAATGATACAAACTGGAAAGTATGTCTATAATACATCATCCAAATTAAGATTACCCTGCATATTACTTTTACTGCAATAGAGTGCATACTCACATACATCCTTCGGTTTTAGAAGAACAGAAACAGATGAACAATTCTGTTGACATCCCTCTGCTGGGTCTAAAACAATTAATCTGAAGCCCTTACCTTGGGCAAGCCAAACATTGGCAAAGTCAGTTAAAGGCTGAAATAGGAATTGAAATCAATTACAAATAGTTACTATATTGAAATATCAAACTAGCTAATTATTTAAATTTTTATATGAAATTATAGCTAGAATCAATAACCTACATCAGAACTAAATATATATACAGTATTGGGAATAGTTCTAGAAATAGTAATTAAAATGGTGTAAAATACAAATATTAAGAGATTGCTCCTTTCTACTGCATGAAAATTAAATGCACTAAAGTGTAGTCAGGTGTTAACAGTTTACTGTGTGACAGACTGTCATTCATCAAAACACAGTACCATATCTGCATAATGCCTCTAAAAGTACAGAATGTCATAATATTTATATGCTCCTTTCTACTGCATGAAAATTAAATGCACCAAAGTGTAGTCAGGTGTTAACAGTTTACTGTGTGACATACTGTCATCCATCAAAACACAGTACCATATCTGCATAATGCCTATAAAAGTACATAATGTCATAATATTTTCAGCAGTAGTCTGGTGAATGTACTCATAGTTCCTTGGACAGAAATGCCACATGACAAACATATAGAAATCAAAGCATTGACTAGTGAAGGCTACTCCATGCAAAGATTGAGGGAAAATTTCATGTTTAGGTAGGAGCTATATGGAAACTCTTAAGAAGCTACATGAAACTAAAACTGTTGATAATAGAAGTTGTGGTAGAAAGCTGAAACACTTAGAGTGAAGTTAAGAAACTCAGAATATGCTCTTTATTTGATAAAAACAAACCACTAAAGATTTATAAATATAGGTGTGATACACATTAGTGTGAAGTGTCCAAAATAGAAGTATAGCTGCTCAAAAACTACTGCTTAGGAGTGATAACCACACCACAGGCTAAAATGACCTTCAGAATTCAATGAAATGAGCTATGCTGGAGGAGGCTCTTTGCAGGTGAATCTAAAGTTGAATTAGCAACAATCAATGATAATTTGTTCAATGGCAAAGATTAGAACAGTATTAAGGTCAATGTGCAACATCTACAGTAAACATGCATAAGGACCAATACAAATGGGGGCTGCAATTCAGCCACTGAGATTTACATAAAATTGATGGCACCCTTATTGCTGACAGGTAAAAACACATTCTAATACATCATGACTATTCTTCAGAAAGTTAACATTTTTCTCAATTGAAAATGTGTTTCCAATGTGGCTATTACTCGACTGCCAGGGTTTCTTCTTTTACCCACCTAAGCATTAGTCTGATTTTTTCTCACTTGCTCCAATCTTTTATACCCCACTTAATTGCCCTTGGCAATATTTATCTCATGACACTCTCCACCTACGTTAATGTGCCCTCTATCCTAGTACTGCCTATAAGCACCTTATTCAGATAATGTTATCACTTTTTCCAGACTGACTCAATCCGAAGTCTTTAACCCTGACTCTTAATGTGTGGAAGGGCAGGAGAGTGTGATAGGAGGTAAGTACTATTGGAAATACATTTTCAATTTAACAAAATGTTAACTTCCAAAACATACTTACCTCCTTTCTAACTACAGCTAGAATCCCACCTTGATAAGGTGGAGGGGCCAGTGAGGGTATTATCCATACAGAAAGTGTCTGCATAAACAATGGGTGTGTCAAGATTGGCACCCTATGGGTGCCTCTACTGCCACCTTGTCCAGAGATCCATCTCTTCATGATTGCCTCACTTCACTTCAGGAATGGTATTCATATGTCAACAGTCAGAAATTCCAGGGTCTACACACAGATGACAAGGCTACAATACACAATGTCTTAGACCTTCTTGCTCTGCAAAAGGTGATGCCTCATGGACTGGGCTTAGTAAGGGAAACATCATCAGGCTTCACTCTGACAATTCCATGTCTTGCATTTACCATCAAGGGGCACTTGTTCCAGGGCTCCTTGTTTTCAAACCTTGGATCTCCTTTCACGGGACCACTCCTATCATGTCACCCTACTAGCTTGCTATGTTCCACAGATGATGAATGCAGTAGTAGATCAATTGTCTCGACCCAAGTAGATTCTCCCAACAGAATATATGCTGCATTGCAAGGTTTTCTGTTGGATTGGCTTTCATTTTGAAACACAGGTTGGCCACTCTTGGGAACACCCAACTACCGACAATTTGATCTCCAGTACCTCACCCTCAGGCTTTGGCAATGGATGCATTCCGTCAGGTATGGGATTACAACTCTAGGCCTTCTGTTCAATTCATATATTACCTAAGGTACTAAATATGATTTGTTACAACCCATGGTTGGATCCTGTTGATAGCACTGGATTGGCAACTACACTCTGGTTTCTGCTTCTGCAGTGCCTTCAGGAGTGCCAACTTCTTTCACTTCCTCTTCAGCCATTTCTGAATCTGATATGGCACACCCAGATGTTGGGATTTAATTTTTAAGGTTTCCATGTATCTGTCTCAGTCTTTGTTTAGTCCTGTGATGGACATTTATCAATGAAAATAGAACACATATTGGCAACGGTGTATTGAGAGGAGGTTGAGCCCACTTCGATCAGAAGTTCCATGCATAACTCATTTTTTGCATCTTCCATAATCTCCCTGTATAAGGTGGCCTTAGCAACTACCATTCGATATTCGAAACAAAAATTCTTTGAGTCCCCAGTACTTTCCAGCTTACTCAAGTTGCTTTGGGTCCTTTGTCCCAAATGACCATTCCAGTTACCTAACTGGTATACTAAGGTTACATTACATGCTCTTTCTCAACACCCATTGTGACCTTAGTCTCATGTGCTTTGTATCACCTTTCCCTGAAGGTATATTTTTTGTTGCTGCCGACCTACAGACATTGCTAATTGGAGTGGTTTGTGCCAATTGTCCACAGGACGCTTTATCATTCTACCTACATTCTCCCCACTAAGAGCCAGTGTTAGAGACTGCTGATTGAGTCAGTCTCACAAAAATGATAACATTATCTTAACAAGGTCAGAGGGCACATTGAATGTAGGTGCAGAGTGTCAAAAGACAAATATCACCAATGGCAATTAAGTGGGGTATAAAAGACTGGATCAATCAAGGAAAAATCAGACCAATGCTTAGATGGACAAAGGAAGAAACCCTGGCAGTCAAGTAACAGCTATAGTTAGTGTGAGAAGGGAGGTAAGTTTGGAACAAGAATTACTGTGAAGGGATTCATCTTCCAGCAAAAACAATGATACCAAGGATACAACAGATGTGGTGAAATGATACCTAAAGGTAAAAAGATGCTAATAAACACTTGTGACCATGGTTTGCCTGCATAAATTCCCAATATGAATATTATTAAAGTTTTATAGATTTACATGGAAACCAAGAAGGGCAAAAAGCAACCAAACAATATAAAAGAGTACATACAGCTCTGTTTAAAGCAAATACAAAATACTGGAACACTTTATAATCTTTCTCTCTTTATACTTTCTGAAATAATAATAACGTATTGTACTAATGATAAATTTACAATTTCATTTCAATTACTTGATTATTTTTTAATAAAAGAACTACAGTATGTCAGTCAAAAAAAAAACAAAATATATATACATATGTACAGTTTAAGGACAACAAGGTATCTCTTGGTCCATTTAGGCTGTAGTGAACTCTAAAATAAAACACTCAAAGCCCCTTATCATTCAAATATTTATCAAGTTTTCTTTTTACATCCCCTTAAATTACCTGCAACTACCACATCTGAAGGCAATCCATTCCAAAGGACAACCATCTTGTTAGAAAATTAAAACTGTCTTAGTTAAATATGACACCTACCTTGTAAAATTTATGCTTGTGTCCCCTAATCTTACCATTATTACACTGAAATTAAAACAAAATAAAAAAATGATGCATTAACACTATCGATTCCCTTTACGATCTTAAATATCTCACTCAGATTCTCTCTAACTCTTCTTTTTCCAAGAGAAAACAATTTCAGAAATCTTAACCTCTCCTCGTATGACAACCTTTCCATCCCAAGTATCATCACAGTGGCCCTCTTCTGAACCCTTTCCAACAATTCAATGTCCTTTCTAAGCTAAAAAGCCCAAGACTGAATACAGTACTCCAAATGTGATTTTAACTAATGACCCTGAAGTACCTATCCTCGTATGACAACTTTTCCATCCCAAGTATCATCATAGTGGCCCTCTTCTGAACCCTTTCCAACAATTCAATGTCCTTTCTAAGCTAAGGAGCTCAAGACTGAATACAGTACTCCAAATGTGATTTAACTAATGACCCTGAAGTACCTATCCTCATATGACAACCTTTCCATCCCAAGTATCATCACAGTGGCCCTCTTCTGAACCCTTTCCAACAATTCAATGTCCTTTCTAAGCTAAGAAGCCCAAGACTGAATACAGTACTCCAAATGTGATTTAACTAATGACCCTGAAGTACCCAACTGACGAGATTAATCCACTTGAATGTGGTTAGCAAATTTAAATAATCTGTTCACCATTCCTTTATCTATGTCATTGATGTAAATCAAAAAGAGCAAAGGTTCTAACATTGAGCCCTGAGATACTCCACTCCTTACATTAATCCAACTTGACTGAACTCCATTTATAACAACCCTCTCCTAATTTTTCTATCCAAATAGTCAACCTATCCCACACACCTACAGAGATAACTTTTTAACAAGCCATTTATGTGGGACATTATCAAGTGCTTTCTGAAAATCCAACCACATCAAATCCACACCCATACCATCATCTACATAAGCAGTAACCTCTTTAAAGAATGTCATAATATTAGTAAGGCAATATTTTACCCTACTGAAACCATGCTGACTAAACAACAAAAATGACTTTCCAAAGCATCATTTATCAAATTTTCAAAAATTGACGTAAGACTAGTAGGCCTATGATTACTGGGACAGTTTTTATAACCTCCCTTGAAAAGATAAGATCATAACACTTTACAAAAATTAAGAGTACTACTATATCCAGAGAAAGTACATACAATCAGTTACAAAATGATAAAAACCAGGAACAATTACCCATGGAAATAAGTCTTACAAAAACAAATTAAAATGCATATACCACTTTCTCAGATTTCAAAAAATTAGCTAACATTTCTGGAGAAGTGAAATTACTATTCAGAAACTGGGTTCATTTTTGCAGAGCAGTTGCCTTAAACAATTAGGCTATTAGGTTAAACTGCTAATAGCCTCAATCTTCATTTTAATGGTTGAAAAGACTGGAAAATGCCAGGGTTTTTAAGCCATGCTAGTTGTGTTTTAGCACATAAATTGCTTATAATGGCAACTCAGCAATCCAATTAATGAAACTTAAGCTTTAAATACAAATTTTATTGTGAAATACCAATGAAGTAAACACTTAGACTTTTGATCATCACATCTGACAACTTAAATCATTATCACAGACAGACATGGGTCAGATTCTTGGTTCCATATTTTACTTCTTTCAGAAAAACTGAAACGTTTGCACAGGACAGTATACTAGTACTAATAGCTATAAGAAAATCCTGATCTTCTACCTTGGGAAAGAAAAAAAGTTTCCAGAATTTTCAGAAATAGAAAGAATGAAGTTTCAAGGATCATCTCCAAATCTTTAATGATTTATTAAAGACAATTTCTTTATTACTAAAAAAATGGTATCAGTATCATAATGAGCATTAACTAACTAGTACATTATAACTACTTGTCATTACGGAGGCATGAGGTATCGAGACTGTGAAAACTACTGGTGCTGTTCAACTTGAACTTTTAACTCTTTCCATACAAATGCATATTATTATGATAAACTTCAGAAAAGTAATATATGTTGTTGTCTCCCATGCTTTGAAAAGTTGAATTCTAAATATATTCAGACCAAATAAACCACACCTAAAGAAAATCATCAATAGCTTATTACCAGAGATTAAGCAGTGAATAATTTACCTAAACACACCTAAGTAGTATATGTAAATACAAATTTCTTAATGCTTAAATCCAACATATCGAACTAAGGCACATAAACAACATTATAAAGCATGAATTAAAGCATTTTTAATACAAAGGACTCAACACATTTTGGCAACCCTTACTTGTCTTCTCCAAAATTAGTCTCTGTATAGTCCACTTAACATGAATACAGTAACAATGGACAGGAACTACATTATCAAATTCCACTTTAGAATGATGTGACCAGACAGCCAGATATGAGCATACAATTTCTAATAACAGTAACATCACCCACTATTTAACTAAATCAAAACTTACCAGTACATACTGAGAAGCTTCTGGCCCATCTATATACAGGTACCTCTGTAATGCCACTTCACTACTTTCAGGTATAAAGTAAGGGCGCTTAAAGACTCGACGAATAATCCGAGCAGATGAAACTCTGTTCATTTTCCTACAAAAGCAGTTTTTACAAAATAGATGTACTTGTTATACAACTCAAATTCAACAAATGATATATTTTTTTCTCATATTAAGTTCTTTGAGGCTGATTATGTTTTGATAATATACGATATGCTTAAAAGTTCTACACTTTGGATGATTAATCCTTATTTTTGGCCTAATTTACTGCTTAAAAGTTGAATGGTACTACAATTCTCAATAAACTGAATTTAAAAAGTTTCAACAAAAAAGACACTCTCTCTCTCAACTGAATTATTTATTCATACTACAAAAATATTTCAAACAATACATGAAAACCCTCAACTATTTAGTTATCAATCATACTACTTAGCTAACTGTCATAAATACTATACTGTATCCAATGTTTCAGCTGGTACAGGAAAATCTTCAGCTATTTAGCTGTCATTCATTTTTCTAACACCAATCATGTTTCACATAAATAAAGTGTCCTTGCCAATATCCCTACTGCAAATCTACTGTTGTGTGCACTCTGGTCTAGATATATAGAAACAACAAGCTTAAAATTAGAAATAATGAGCTCACCAAACATATTGCTGGTAACATAGTGATATGATTGCATTAAAAAACTGATTAACTCTTTCAGCATGGGCTCTTAACCATTTTGCGCTTGTTATAGTTTTCATGCTATAACTTTTCAATTAGTATGCAAATATTAATGAGATTTGGCACATTATCAGTAAACATTACAATGCTTTCATATGCAAAATATAAAAAATTTTTTTATTAAGTCTTAAGGTTTGTAAAGCAATGTTTTTCTCGTGCCTTTTTTTCTTTTTGCATGTTGCCTATCCAACATGCAAAGTAATTTTCACTTTAAGATTAAAAAATACTTTTGTGCATCAGAAAATTTTCAAATTTCACATGCAAAATCCTTATAATGTCCAGATAGTTATGAAATGTTTCTTAAGTAAAAAACTTTATATTTTATCTGTTATTTTCAATAATGAATCTCTGTATGGGTTTGGTCAATTTGACTGATCTTGTAACCACGTTAAATTTATTAGGAAATAAATATAAATTATTCCTCTTTCATTTTAGAATTACAATAAATCATAACACAAAAACACGTATGTTTAGACTAAATAACTTAAAGCTCATAACATTATAAATTTATATATATTTATTATTTTTATTATATTGACATTTCAGCCATACCTGGCTAACAATACAGAAGTTAAAATGATGAGGCATACATGCACTCATGTTACCATATCCAATAATATAAAGATGACCTTTGGTTTGTATAAAGTAATTTGTCTTGTCTGTGTTTTAGTAGTCTAGTATTTTGTAAAAGTACAGTCACATTTCAATTATTATACATTAAATGTGTATATAGATTATTGCTATTTTGAAACAAGTCCTTAAACTTATTTTTCTTAAACATAGAACAGTAAATAAAGAAGTTAAGCAAACAAATATCTCTTCTAGTTACAACCTTTGTACTCAGTTGCTAAACCTTTAAAAATTTTGCACATGGAGTACATGAAACAAAATAATTTTTTTAGATTTTATATATAAATTTGAAAAACTAAAAAAATCATAAATTACTACATAAATACCATAGAATTCCACTATAATTTATCAAGCTTGGTAACTAAGATGTATTTTAGTCTAAAAAAATATGAAATTTTGAGGAGACTAAAGACATCCTACCTCCTTGAAATATTGGTTCAAAAGAAAGAAATGGCATCCAAGCCCATTAAAATGACTGAGAAAGCCACTAGGGGGACATTCTGAGCTTCTGTCATGTCATATATAGAAGTGTATATAAGAGTACATTTCCAAAAATGGAAATAAATGGCACCGTGTTTATTACATGAGCAATATCTTAGCAAACAGAAAGATAAGATGTTCTTATTTGATATTCTAGCTTGTCAATATTGATTATTTGAGTTTCTAATTCATATGAAATTATAGAATTAGTATTTTGACTTCACAAACATCTAATTTGAACCAGTGCTACATTCAACTTACCACATGACACACAAAAATTGATGTTTATCTGCGTTTTTTAATATTTACTTTTAAATTAAGAAATTGAGTAATATATAGTACTAAAATTTGAATTATAATCTACAGTTTGATACCAAACTTATTGACATAAATTCATGAAATAGTAGTTCAATAAAATTTTGAATGCGAGTCAACAAATGAGATGACATGGCCTTTCAACCGTGACCCAACTTGAAAGGGTTAATTATTTAATCAGACTTACTCTTCATAGAAAGCAATGTTACTTGAAATTAATTAAGAGCCAAAACCAATACACTGGTATATGTATGTGTAAACAAGCTAGTTAATCTATCACCTCTGTATTTTGTGAACTAAATATTTATTCATATTTTAGCAAAACAGGAAGCAACATTTAAGCAGTGCATAACTTTGAACTTGTTAATTTTGTGCAACAAGTCAGATGATAAAAAACTGCAGAGAAAGGAAAGGTGATGATGATGATTAATTCATCAGTTTGTTCAACAATAATATACACTTTCCTAAATTCTAATTTTAAAACTTTATTTGCCATTACTCCCACTTGACCGACATGCTTTTATATTGTACACTACTCATGGCATCAACATTATGATAATGCATCATATTGAGTAATTTTGTTTTTACCAATAACAACACTCAGTTTAAAGAACTGACTAAAAACATTTGGTAAAATCACTCATTTTCTGTGTAAAATATACAGGAGGCACCAGTCATAATTTGTAGGATTAATTGCAATATTGACAATAGTGACAGAAAATGCAACTCATAATCTTAGAGATTCTGTTGCCAGCAAATGTATAGGCCAACAACCAATGTCATGCATAAACAGTTTAGAAAAATGTGTTTAAAAATTTCACAAGCTCTTGGTCACCATCAGTAAGTATAGGACTATAAATTATGATTTTGTTTAACCTCTACACAATACAATGGAAAAACCATAAAAGTTAAGAATACATTTTGTAGACAAGTTACACTGTAAAATAAATAGAATTTTGGTTTAAACTCTGTCAACAAGATATGTTATGAAATAAACAGAATTTCGGTTTATACTCTTATAAACAAGGTACATTATTAAATAAGTTTTGTTTATACTTTATAGACAAATTACACTGTACAACAGTTAAAAGTTTGGTTTATATTCTATATGAGCTACACTGTAAAACCCAGCTTAGTTTATACTCTCTAAGCCAATTTTCAATGTAAAAAAATAAAAGTCCAGTTTATGCTCTGTATGCAAAACATATTGTTAAATAAAGTTTTATTTTCATACTCTGCATATGAGCTATTATAAAACAAAGTTTATAATCTGTATATGAGCCACACTGCAAACAAAAAATAAAGATTGTTTTATGCTATGAATACAAGCTACATTGTAAAGCAACTAAATTTGGGTTTATGCACTGTATATGAGCTACAGTTAAAGGATTGATTAATGCACTGTATATGAGCTACACTGTAAAACAGTTAAAGTTTGGTCTATGCACTGAATACGAGCTACGCTGTAAAACAATTAATTTGGTTTATGCACTATATACAAGCTACACTGTAAAACAGTGAGTTTGGTTTATACACTATATATGAGCTACACTGTAAAAGAGTTAAAGTTTGGTTTATACACTATATATGAGCTATACTGTAAAACAGTTAAAGTTTGGTTTATGAACTGTATATGAGCTACACCGTAAAACAGTAGGGTTTCTGCTCTGTATGCAATATACATAGTAAAGCAAAATTTCATTTATGCTCTGTAGGTAAAAGCATAAATTAATTATTTTTATACACTTGTACTGATTCTTACCAATAAATCTGAATATCTTTTCTTGATAATTCATTCTCTGTTGATAATCCTTCAAACAGTTCCTTTAAAGAACCAAGTCTTGGAGAGTTGGAGACAAATTTTGCTGTTCCTCTAATTAAAGCCTCTTTGCTGGCTAAATACATGTTCTTTAACACATGTAATGATATTGGCGAGTCCATAATATCCTAAAAATTGTTAGAAATGTACATAAGAAAGAACAACTATTAGAAGAAGATATATGTATATTAGAATCATGTTTCATTATAGCAGAATCTTGTGAAGGAAAACTTTATGACAGGATTGGCTGTATCAGGAAACATGGAAAGTGAACACATGTTAAAATCAGCTGCATATTTAGCATGACCGTTAAACCCTTTTTGGACCAGAGAGTGCTTTTCTGGTATCAAATTCACTCCTGGATATGAATTACAAAATGTAAGTAAAAATAATGATTATAATATAGTAACCAAGATGGTCTTTCAAGAAACATTGAGTTCACTCAGCATGAAAACATCAAATGAATGCTTGTTAAAATTAAATGCAAGAAAAATATTTAAGCAATGGTATTATATTCAAACAAAAAAAAATCTATTGAAGAAACTGAGACATAAGACATCGTGCTACAATGATGGGCGATTGTATTAAGTACTGTATCAGCACACATTTTTGATAAGCTTGGCTTACCAAAGTCTAAACATACCTTTGCCATTAGAGCTGTATAAATGCCACAGCTTTCTTCATCAAAAGTAAAAGGTTCTTATATCTAGAAAACATCTATCAACAAGGCTGGAGAATGGCCTGTTTAATTATGTTTTTATTATCACACGTATCTGTATTATAATATTTTCTTAACCTACCAGGACCAGTGAACATCTGCATGTCAAATTTCAAAATTTATATAAAAATAATTCTAACTTTATTTAAACAATTGTTTTTCAAAATATTTTAGAATTAACATTGTCATTTTCTAACACTAATTTTGTGTATTTTGCAAATAAAAATGAACAAAAAAGTTAAAAGATAAAAATTTTCTTATGTGAAAATGTATTTCAGATAGATACTCAATTATCCATAGAACAAATAGCTAATATTTTGGGGCTACTGCTGAAAAGATTTGTCCATACACCAGGCCACTGTAAGAGCTCTCACTTTCACATCTTATTGCATCATGGAATAGCCCAGTTCATGTTATCAGCATTAAATAAGGAACATATCCTCCTTGCACACCACTCCTCTTGAGAACACTGTGAAAACCAAAAAACTCATTCTTAACAAGGCAAATAAATACACTGGAACTGGAGAGGTAGATGAGTGGTTCTTGGAAAGGTTAGTATCTATCTGAAATACCATTTCATGTAAGGAAAATGTTAACTTCACATAATGGTACTCACCTCTCCACAGAACAAACAGTTAGAATCCCATAATGGAGAAAGAGACTAGTACTAAACTAATCTATATATCCCAGTAAGTCAGCAGACATAGAAGTTAAGCATGGCTAGAGCAATATGTCAAGCTGTAACATATAGGGTAAATATATGCAATGGTTACAAGAATATTTAGACTTAAGAATGAATCATCTAACACCTGTATCCCAAAGACAGCTCAAAACCAATTTGGCTGGTCACAACTGCCAGGAATAGTTCTGGTTCTTAAGTGTTGGAGATGACCTGTACTACTCTTCCAGGTTGACACCCCTGTCCTAATTCTGATCAAGTAGTGTGTCCACTTGGTTTCATACCTGCGAGATACAATGACCCAAAAGAGAACTCTGTATATTGACCTCCCAAGTAGCTTGATACTGAGGAAGTATTGGTTTTTCTGCTTTATTAGCAGAAATTGGGAGAGAGGATTTTGCATAGGGGAGAGCACCGGAGAGGTGTGCGAACCAACCAGGAATCATCTTATCTGTACAAGATCCCTCACTGAGAGACTGTGTAACGGGTTACTGCAAAAAATGAAACAGCAAGAATTTTCCTAGTTGATTGGGTGTGTCCACTTTCTTTTCTTTGCCCAGTAGAGTATGGAAAGTAAATATATACTACAAAAAGTCTTGTTGAAAATCCAATCTCAACACCGGGTACTGAGCAGTGGCAAATGAGCTGAACACTTTTTTTTTATCCCCTACTCAATGCAGATTTTAGGATAGAGACATATTGACTGTGAGGTTACACTAGTCACTTGGTGTTTCTTAGAACCTCTGAGAAGATTTAAGAATGGTGACTGGAGGAAGATAGAATCTAGAGGCTGATGAAACTGCAATATGATATGCTTAATGTGGCAAAAAGGTGTCTGGTGTCAACAAGCCCGACTGCAAGATTTCATCTAGGGGACACCGATGGCAAGATGCAAGAGAAGCTATGAGATGGAAAGTGACATTAAAAAAAACTGTAATCTTTCATGAAGGAATAAATTAATTTGATGATTTGCTTAACCCATCTGGTCAAAGTGGAAAAAGATAAATCACGAAAAGTAGGGAAATCTCACAGGAGGAAAAGATAACAAAACTGCCTCTAAAAGGACCTGGATGAGTCAAGTAACATCATACTGCCTGCATGCAAGAATCATCCAAGTCAATTGTATCAGAGTAACATATCTTGCAAGTGAGAAGGGGAAGAAAATGCATCTTAAAAGAAAGATGATACAGGGAACAGGTGACCAAAAGTTCAAACAGAGAACTTATGAGAGCTCTAAGAACTAAACAGAAGGTCTAGTCCATAAGAGGAACAACACTAGGAGGGAAACAACTTAGAAAGGCCTAAAAAGTTTGTAAGAACCAGAGAATAACCAGGAATAATTGAAACAAATAAACTACTCTTGAAATAAGTGATAAGAGGAAGAGTTGGACAATCTGGAGGAAGAGAGGATGCAAGTATCACCATCAATAAACCATGTATTCCCTGATAAATCACACGAATGAATGGACAACAACAGTAAGTAAGAAAAATGTGATTTCTATGAAAAAAGACATGCCCGTCTTGCATAAGACTTGAAAAAAGTCACATGTGAAGTGAATGCATGACAAGTCATGGTGAGAGAAGGATGTTTGAGGAGGTATGATAAAGAGATTCAAGAAGGAAGAAGAGGTTCCTGGATCAACAAGAAACAAATGAGTAGAAACTATGACTGAGCTAACCAATGAATCAATGACTGGTGACTAAAAGAGTGGAAGATTTGTGTTGGTATGGGTACAAATCCACCCTGTGGGAAAGATCTGTTCCAGGTGAGACAGCTGATCTGCCACAAACATCAAGGCCACTGCAACATAGTAGGATTGACAACCAGATGTAGTGGTCATGGGACCCAAAAGAGGTATTCTAGAGCAAGAAAGCATAAGTCTCAAGAATAGGATGTCCAGACAGACAAGACAGAAGATAATGGCAGGTCCATTAAACTGCTAACATCTGGAGATCAATGATGTATAAAGAGGTGTGGATATGAAGGAAAAGGAATGAAAGAAGACAGCAGATCATTGAATGTATTACATTTAGCTGCTAGAGGACTCTGTAAGGGAAGCAAATAAACACATCCAAAAAAAGGGACTCTAAATAGGCTAGTCCCGAAAAAGGATAGAACCTCTCGTGTACAAAGAAAATGAGATGTAATAGCCTTGTAAATCAGAATTCAAAACTAACTTAAATAGCTTGAGTAGCCAAACCAAATGAGCAGACTCATGGAAGAGCAGTGAGATCACAAAAGAAGATGCCTCTCAGGGTGGGGCTAGGAAGATCCAATTGTACATTTAATTTGTGGAAATACAGACCTAACAAATGCATACAAGAGAAAACCATTAGCATTTATTTAAAAAAGACAAGGCTTAAATCTTGAAAGACAGAAAAAGTCCCTGAAAGAGCATCTATATGAACCAAGTTAGTCCACAGGTGTGCAAAGTGTAAAAGTCAAATTTCATAGAACTGGAGCTGAGAAATGGCTATAGAAATGAGTATCTCTGAACCCCTTAATGATTGGCTTGTCAGGATGGGGACACTGGGAATAAACCACAGGATGAAGAACAGGATAGAATGGGAACTCATAAAAAAAATTTCTGGAGGAATGTCACAAAACGAAGTTCCTTGAAATAAGATTGAAGAAGTCTTTAATTCCAAAAAGTAAGCATCCTGACCAGGCAAATCTCAAAAACAAAGAAACCAAAGAACAAATTGTGCAGCTGCTGAAATAAAATCAAGGCAGAATCACCAATAAAGCTGTCAGGATTGTGATTGACAACCTCAGAAAGATGGGGTAAAAAGGGCTGATTAGTTAATAAGTAGAGCAAGCAAGAAGAAAAGATTCAAAATATGATAGATCTAGGAAAGAGGAAGAATTTTGACCATAGACCACAGAGAAAATCTTGAGGTCGTGGAGTTGACACAAATTTGTGAAAAATAAATAAACTGCAGTTACAAGAAAATTCGGCAAAGTAAAATAAAAAGGAAAAATCCTAATGTTGAATTGTATACAAGAACTTGGCTGAGAACCAGTAGGAATACCTGGAGTAAGACAAAAATATCATGGACCTGAATTATCACAGTGGCAAAGGATAAAGGTAGAGTTATCTGATCCTTATCAGGGATTAAATCCAAAGTAAAGGTGGGCTATGGGAAAAGTTGGTCAAATTCATCCAAAGACAAGACATAAGCAAAAGCTACAGAATCAGGAAGCCATGAGTCCTTGATCCAAGACAAAGAATGTAGGAAAGAAACAACCATTTGATGTACAATGGCAGTAACATCACTCACTGTCAGAATACCTCCAGTCACAAATGAAGCAGAATAAAAGGATAATTGTTGAGGATTGTCTGTGCCTTGAGAGGCTTCAAAAATGTAGATATGAGGATTCATATTCAATAACATCCATGAAACTGAAGTAATGGAAAGTTATTATGTTAGTTATTTTTTCCCCCTTTTTATGTCTATACCTTTTTTTTTACAAAACTTAGATTGATGTTTGGCTCCTGTCTAAACTGTATTACAGAGCTAAAGACAAGGAGCAAATATTCCTTTCAAGAAAATCTATATCACAGTCTCTTGAACCCTTGGTTTGGTTATGTATAGACATCAAAGTAATGCAAGAAAGAGAATCTTTGTTAGGCAAAGCACAAAACATCCTTTCTTTAACAAAATGCTTAAGAAAATTATACATCTAAGTAGTATAGTACTGAGGAAAAGAATGAGCTTTATATTTACAGAAGTGTTCAAGGGGAGTGCTGCACAAGGAAGATGTGTTGCTCCCCCTACTGGTGGAGGAGGATAGTATAATGCTGACTGCATCCCAGCCCATTACAGTTCATGCTATTATGCGAGTAATGAGAGGTGAGTAAAGTAATTTGAAAGACAAAATATACAAATATCGAACTCTTACATCTAATCTATAAATATGAAATAATTTAAAATAAAAATTATATTTATTATTTAAAAATTAAGAAATACATACAGATCTTCTAGGTCACCAGAAATCCATATTTGATGGTGAAATCAATACATGTGCAGCAACTTAACTTAAAAATTTAACAAGGTATGTTCATATTAAAATTGAAGAGACAACTTCAGCAAGTGTTGAAAAGTTCATCCAGTTTATTAACATTAAATACAGTTGTATTCTTCATACAACAGTTCTACATACTGTCAAAATATGTTATCTCTATATTATAAGAAAAAAGGATGAGTCTCACACTTCAGTAAAAGCACTTTCAATTTCATTACCAGCTTGTCAACAATAAAGAACACTTCAGGTTTTTAGGTGGTTTCTAATGAAATTGGTGATTTTATATGCATACTGATATACCTAGAACTTTTACATTTTACATTTTTCTCCATTAAATGTTTTTAATGTCAATATTTCTAATACCAATACTTTATTACATACTCACCCTTACTATAAAAGGTTTTCCATTATATGCATATGCCTTGCTATAATTATGGAGCCCTGTGAGGTCAACTACTGTTCGCACATCTTCACAAACCCAACAGTCTGGTGGTGGTTCTTTGTAAAAAGGGTTTTTAAGAAGGCACTCTTCTTCATGCCACTCTAAAAAAAAAGATCCAATCAATGAAAATAAAATACTCATGATACATTAAGGTGAATGAGTTCCTTCTCAAGGATTAACATGTTTGGCTATATTCAAAAAATTGTACTTACCAGAAAAACTTATTCCACAAGTTACCCAGCTCTACTCAGTGCTCCAAGTAAACTTTTTTTACATAATGAGTATTTTACTTCTCAAATAAGCTGCTATTGCTGAAAATGAAGATACAGTGATGAAAACTTGCATATTTTTGGGTTTCAGCAACTTTTTAGACTGTTTTATCATGTTTATTTCTGTATTAACCTCCTCTTAAGGACCACCCGAGAAAATTACAGCAAAAATTCAAAACAGTAAGCACTTTGTTGACATTAATTAATAAAATTTGACTGTTATAATTTTCAGTTCAACAGTAACCCCAAACCACAGGTAATTACCAGCCTGTAATCATAGCACATATTATTTGTGAATTTTTCTTTTCCTCACTAACATTGTAAATTTGGTGAATAAATGAAAAAATCTGAATGACATAGAGACATAACCTATTATTTGATTCACTATTCCTTCTGCAGAAGATTATAATTTTGCAAAATCACAGCTGTTAGATACTGCTTGGAAGAGCATACTGAAGTGATACAGTAAGCCTCCATATAGTGGTAGAAAGCACATAATTTGTAGGATTTGGTGTAATAATCACTCTATAACTCATCCATTGGCATTTTATGGTGAGAATAATTTCCCATCTTTTGTGTATGTTTTATTACCAATACAGGTTTTTTGTTTCTTTTGAACTGGTAAATACACACTCATACATGAATGGTATACATACCAGTGAATAGTATGCATATTTAATAAGTAAATTTTAAAGCATTTTTGGTGTAAAAAAAAGTAATTACCAGGATATCCATCTTATCCAGAGCTCTTATTACACATGGAATCATATTGGCAATTATAAACCTATAGTATTTTACAATGACTTAGATGAATGGATCGCAACTGCCTGTTGTAGAAACACAAGTGTAGAGGACGACATGAATACTCCGCCTGAACAATCTATCAAAGAGTATTTTACTAATTTGGTTTGTACTTGTAAATCTTTGGAATCTACTGTCAAACAATTTTAATGAGTATCAAGTCTTCCACACCGATTCACCAACATCTGATATTATTCTCTCGTATTATGCTGTTTTTTTCTTGTATTTTGTTATATGAATGATGACTCTACAGTTTCAGCACCACAAAGTCATTATTAACAAAATATGGTTGTTTACATTAAAGAATAAAAGGCCAAATCTGTTAATTTTATACTATATGCCTACATTAAAAGCCTTGTAGTTAAATTTATTATACAAACTTCATATTTTGATCAAAGAGAACAATTCTAAATATATATTTCCAGAAAAAATAACAAATCTATTCACATATCTGCATCCATAAGACATGCAGGAAAACTGAAAAAAAAAATCACTAAAGATTTGATATGATATTTGAAGTCCAGTACCTGAGTAATAATTATTTCTCCAAGAGTAAAATATTTTGAAGACAGTTATTGTATATGCTAAGAAATAAGTATGATTTTAGAATTCTCATCAAAATACAGACATGGTAACTGCCTGCAAACCTAGAGGATAAACATACTTTCAAATTCAAAAGGCCCTACTAACCCCATGTAGCTTGTTTTTCTGTCCTCTGACTCTACATAAAGATTTTAAAATTAAGTATATCTGCATCTTTTCATTCACTATAACCACATGAAAAGTGTAAAATTATACAATAAACTAGTTTCTTGATAAATCAATGACTGAAAGGAAGTAACAGTCCTTGCTTCCAAGCCACCGTGTGGTTGTTTGCAACAGAATGAGTGATAGTCACTCAATTATAATACAACCAGAACAGCTGGACAATTGAAAGATTACCAACTAATGCTATTATATATATATCAACTAACAATTTGAGTGTAAAAATATCAACCAGGAATTATGGGTGCAATGATTCAGCAAATGTATCACAATACAGCATTAAACATACTAAATCAGTGCTTCATGTTTGGAAAATGAATGGGCCTGATATAATTTTTTTTCTCTCTTCATATTATAGTTTCTAAGAGGCTTGAAATAATATCCATAACCCCATCTTCAAAGATAGCCATTCACATATGGCCTTTTGCATGAATCCTTGACTAGATCATTATTGAGCACATAAACATAAACAAATTATTATTAAAAAAAAATCATTAAAGCATTGATCAGTCATTTAGGTATACCCCTCTTCAAACCTATCCAACTGACATTCTTTACAAGTCAACATTAATTACCACACAACCATAACATATTCATCAATACTTCAGCACAATCAACATACCAATACTGAATTAGGTAAATCCCATTTCTCATGCCACATGTGGGATTGTTGTTCTTTAGACAATTCTACAGACAAAAATGTAGTTCACATATATCAGATCACAGGACTGATCAAGAGACCAATCAATGCATTTTGCATACACATAGCAACAGGGGTCTCCAGAGGTTAGTTAATGTGCTGTCACAAAACAAATATCTGTGACAAGATTATTTCCAATAAATGTGATAACATTGTACTGTTCTCACTACTTCTACATCTCTCCTGTGAAATGCAAAAATAATGAGTATTACGTTGTTTATTCACAGGGGCTTTAATAATAGCATTTATAGGCACTTACAAGTGCCGGTGCAATGTATTTATTTATATGTATTTACCAATTACACCCTTAACAAAAGCAAAAATTTAAACCCACCCTTTACTTTTCAGGAAATCTTCAATTCCTCTCTTAAACTTCTGTAAAGTATTCTTCTCCACTACTCCCAATGCCAACTCATTCCCTAAGTCAATCACCCTGTTAGAAAATAAAATTATCTTAACTGGAACATAGCCTGTCTTTACCAAATCTTAAATGTGTGTCCTCTCATCCTAATATTTTCAGAATATGGAACAAATAGATCAAAAGCCTTTATCCTATTAATCCTCAGGATAATTTTGCAGACTTTAATAAGATCTTTTATTCTTCTTTTCTCAAGAGAAAACAAGTTAGTAGATCTTATCCTATCCCAATAACATAATCCTTCCATATAGCATTCCTCTGCAACTCTTTCGAATAAGCAAATATTGTATTTTTTTTCTGTGTAGATATAATTATTTATTTTCTGTAATCAGTACTTCATTAAAAACACACTAAGATCTGTTAGCTTTATTACTAGCAACAGATCAATGTCTCCATACCTTTAGCAGCTTATCCACCACTATGCAAAGATATTTTTCTTCAGTCACACGGTTTAGTGAATTCCCGTTTATATTACATATATCATCCAAATTACAACCCAACTGCATTAACTTGCACTTACTGTAAATAATGGTCATTTGCAAAATATTTGTTTAACTTGCAATTCACTAAAATCATTCTAAAATACCTAAATAAAGCTAGAAATGCCCAAGAATTTTATGTCATAAGCAAACTTTACAAATTTATAATTATGCCCTTATCAGTATCATTCACGTACATAAAAAAGCAAGGGATTAAGCAATGATCCCTAAGGCGCTCCACTAATAACAAAGGTCCAATCTAACTGGACTTGTTTAACAGTTTTCTGCTTTCTCTCATCCAACTACTCTATTTTCCAATCAACTAGTCTTTACCAAACCCATAACGATATAATATTCTTAGTTAATCATTTATGTAGCACTTTATTAAAACTAAAGGCTTTTTGAAAATCTAAATGTACCAAGTTCACACAATTTCCATTGTCCATATGAAGATTAACATTTTTTAAAATATAACAAAAGTAAGACAAAGTGTCAGAATTTACAAATATCAATATCAGCTTGCTTGGGTTAATGACATGGATACTAATATTTTTAGTGTTATGTTCACATGTGCTGAAGATATGAAAAAGACTAAAGCTGGAGGCAATGTTTCTGTAATGTAAGAAAATACTGATAAGGCTAATAAGTAGTTTCATTATTGAAATAAAGTTTCAAAATTAATAAAAGAGCAAGATTATGCATTTGGGTAAAATATTTTGAAACTTACATTTAGATTAAATTTGGTCTCCTGATAAGAAAATACTACCAATTTATTTACTGCATAATATGGCAGGAAACAAAATCTTAAGTATTAAATGTCAGTGTTACTTGGAAGAACATAAACAAGTAAATGGAAGAATTAGGTAATATCCTCACTGATATGAAAAAAAAAGACCCAAAACTTAAGTTCTTTCAAATAATTCACTATTCTTCTTCAAGAGAATAAAGAAGAATAGTCAACTATTCAAAAGCACTGGAGTTTTGGGTCTTTTCTTGAAATTCATTGCACCTTTTGTGTGTGATCCTGTGTGCTACTTCTTTTATAAGAATTGATGTCACCCCTAATAAAAAGAAAAATTAATCAAACTTAAATTTACATACAGCCTTTTCCATCCATACAGTTATCCAATAAAACTAAATCAACTTGAAATAATAGTAACACAATAAACTACATCATCTGATAACCATTGCACAAGATTATAATGTAAATTCTGTCAAAGAATGAGCCATCATTTAGATTTCCTGAGCTTAAAATCTATCACATCTAATAGACAAATCTGTATTTCAAACCTTTTCATTCAGGCATATAAAGAATTTTCAGAAACCTAATATTTTTGAACACTTAAATTTTGTTTTACCTAATTCTTCTGCTTTTCAAAGAAAAAACTGGCTTAAAATTCTACATCGCTGTTCATATTTCCTTAAAGATTACCTAATACATCAGTGAAGCAGTGCAAGATTTTGCAAAAAGAAAGGCAAAATCAACATTAACTTCATTACCCCTCCTACTAGGTTGCGGAAAGATTATACATGGCTAACAATAACCTTTTTTTGATTCTTAAGTTCAAAATTTACATACATAGAACATTTTTTTCACTAGGGCTAAACATTAAGCTGAGTGCTTTGTAGTTTTATGAACTGCAACTTTTTTTTCTTTCACAACACCAGTATCTCTCACAAACATACATACAAAACTTACTAGCTTAAAGTTACTTAAAATTTTCATACCACAAATGAATTTCTTTAAATTTCTTAATATTTAAACTCTCTAAACCATACTTTTGCCTCTTCAGTCTTCACTCAGCTGTAAAGAACCTTATAACAAAAGAATCATTCCTTCTCAGCATTTTAGTATCACCAGCAAATTGCATTTATAAATTAGCCTTCAACAATATCATTATTAAGAATTCATGTCCTATATTTAATAACACATCCACATGTCTAGATACATTCTCTTAACTGAAAAAAAATTCTATATATATATCACCACAAGCCAGTTTCTATTCACTTTCAACTTTTCCCACCAAGTGCTTTCTTCAGTTTACTATTTAATCTCCTATTACCTAATGCATCTTTTCTAAAGCTTTCTCAAACTGAAAGTCAAAGTACACAACATTAACTGAGGTGCCCTCATACACAATGACACAAGCCCCATCAGAATCCTTAAACAAACTGATATTATTATGGGCTTTCTCAAAAAATCTTTTTATGTGATTAATTTTTGGAAAATTGTTTGTTTTTTGTTTGTTTGTTTTTGAATTTCGCGCAAAGCTACACGAGGGCTATCTGCACTAGCCGTCCCTAATTTAGCAGTATAAAACTAGAGAGAAAGCAGCTAGTCATAACCACCCACTGCCAACTCTTGGGCTACTCTTTTACTAATGAATAGTGGGATTGACCGTCACATTATAACGCCCCCACAGCTGAAAGGGTGAGCATGTTTGGTGTGATGGGGATTCAAACCCGTGACCCGCAGATTGCAAGTCAAACGCCCTAACCACCTGCCATGCAGGGCCCATGGAAAATTGGAATGACTTGCGTAAAGCAGAGTTTTACTAATAGTAATAACATGTGGTTTAGGATCTACATATAGTGATCATACATCATTACATGTCATTTAACAGTGACAGGTTTAACACTTGTGGTAAAGAAAAACTTACATTGAATTTTAGGTTACTTACCAGTGAAATAGTCATATTTGCGAAGCAATGGTAAGCTCCAGATTCTGACAGTTCGTAATACGGGATATATTAAACTTTGTGAATGTCGCATAACAAACTTTTGTGTGGGGTTGTGTGATGATGCAATAGCATATACTAAAATTAATCCAAATATTACTTTAAGTATAATCCATGTCAAGAATAAAAAGGTTCTGCAAAACTTCCAAACCTTAAAAAAACTCACTTCCAGTATATGCAAACAAAAATTAAATATCTTTTGACCTCTTGATATTACTGGTAAAGAGCTAAAATTATCGCTCTGATCTTTAAAAACTGTGCTTATACAATCTTCAACAACATCATTATCAAGAATCCATCGTGAACCCAAGCGTCTCAATTCAATAAGCTCCGTTTCAAATCTTTCCGACACATTGTTTCGACTAAATATTACCATTTTTACCAAACATAAAAAAAAAGCAAAAGGGAGAGAAAATTTCAGGTTTAATATGACTCTTTGCATACAATGAAACATCAGCCACTACATTGCTAACAAGTTAAAGTTCAGACTTTTGTCAACCAGGAAATCATGCTGAATGCATATTTTATTGAATAGTTATTCTCGAATAAATTTGACTTTGAAATATAGAAAAAGATACCTGTGTTTTATATTTTTTAAATTATAAAACAAATGGTATGTTTATTTTTTCTTTATTTCTCATCGACATCATTCGAGAACAACTATTCAATAACATACGCATTCAGCATCATTTTCAGGTTGACAAAATTTAGAGCTTCTTGTTGACAGAGTAGTACTAGCACCTAATGTTTCACTATTCATAAAGAGGGGGTATATTGACATATACATGAACATGTATATACAGATTATGTCTCTTTTCATGTCTATAGTCTTAATTTATAAGAAAGTAACTAATTGTTCGATTCATTTCACTCTCACTTCAATTTACATTTAAAAAATCGTTTCATATTGTTACGTCTCCGTTTGTTAATTGACTTTCCGTAACTTCGTTCCGACGAAACTTAAGCGACACAAGTCTTTACTTAATAAAACTGGTTTATTCTTTCCGAATATAACTCTGCGATACATTTAATCTCAATACTCGCGCTAAAACAACACTATAACGAACGAACGTTAACTTCAACAATACCCTGTGACTGCAGTTCAATTACTCACTATCTACCCAGACACGTTACATTCCCCTCTTATATATATCCGCCTACCCTATATCTAGTCAATACTAGAGCATTCGCCAAGATACGGGATAGTTCTAGAAAGTAGAGGGCGTGAGAATCACATGATCTCGATGACACAACACTGCCCCTCCTTAATATTGTTCGTCCCGAACAATAATAATATACAATAAACCAATAACAATTAACAATAACTTAATTACTGTACAGAATTACAAACACAAAATTACAATTCAAGAAAGTCTCTTAATTTTACGGGACGTATCTTCTTCCGTAC